GAGTGCCAGACTCTAGGCAGCCTTTCTGTAATGGATCTTTTTGTCTCTCTCTTAATGCCACATCTCTCTAAATTATGGTGAATTGTTCATAACTTAAGCTGAGTTCCACTATCTTCAAAGAGATGGCTAAATTCTACAAATATTTTTGCTTCTATCGCTTCAATAAACTGCTAAGACATTCCGGATGTGGATTTATACTTCTCTTAACATCTGTGTGGTGATATCTCCTGGAAACTAAATTTGTACCCAAGGGACAAAGCAGGATCTGTTGGTGTAAAACCTGAAACGGGACCGTCAACAGGTATCGGTCAAGCTAGGAAGGGTCACCCTGACAGGTGCTCCCATGGGGGGATGCTGTGCCCTTGGTATACTGTTAGGACAGAATTTCTACCCCTGTTCCAGGCAGGAGTGGGTTAAAGCATGGACATCTTCCCCTGTGATACAACATGCAACAATCCAACATTAAGCTATAGTTGGATGCTGGTGAATTACAGTTCCCAACCATCTCTCAACTATTTGCCCATTAGTGCTGCCTTCATACTTTATTTGAATGGGTAGCTACTGGATTATGAAGCATGCTTTTGCTGTTACTTATTATAGTGATTAACTATTGGGAATTATTGTCACCACAGTATTTTGTAACTAGTTAAGCACTTTAATGGTGATTGACAGGGAAGTTCCCCATAATCTAGTGGGTGCCCATTCATAGAACTAATAGTGAGTACTGAGCCCTTTTAACTTTCACAAGAGGTTAGGCAACGAGCTGTGGCCTTAACACAGAGGATTTTACACAGGAGGAACTGAGGTCAGCTAAGGTTAAAATGGGTTATTCTGGGACAGTGGAGGTGGCAGTGGGTGTTTCAGTAGGATGAATAACTGGGGATATGGCACAAAGATAATTGAAGTAGGTTATTGGTTGGGAGCTAGGGCTGGTCTTTGTTGCTTGGTAATTTCTGTTGCATATTTAAACCTAAAAACTAAAATGTAATAATGCAGATTACCAGTTCTTAGAAATGGTGGTTGCATTCATTTACAGTCAATTCACAATGTAATGGGGAACAAAGGCAGTCCTGCATGAAGTTCTCTGTTCTGTGTTACCATGGCTCCCAAAGATTCAGTGGAGAAATGTATAGTAGAAATGAATTGGCTGGAGGGGGTGGGGGGTGTTAGCAGCATCACAGGGTTAAAGATTAAGTTTTCTCTCTATCTTTTATCCTTCTTTTAGGTAGGACCAAAGACAGTGGAAGTGTAGCTGTTGGTGAGAACACAGGTGGTGTGGCAGGTGTTTCAATTCAAGAGGATGCATGGTTTTGGAACAGTATATGCAGTGTAGTGCTACCCTCTCAAGTGACACTTGATGCTTGTCCCCAGTGGTTGCCCTGACTTTGTAAGCCTCCGGACACCTCTTACACTCTGGGTTCAGACATATTTTAACCATATAGGATAATGTAAGAGACCCAATTCTTTAGTCACACTGCTGGATTAAGCTCGTTCAAGAGAGTAAACCACAGAATGAAGGTTTAGGAGATACGTGCCCAGTTAATGCATAAATACAAAATGCTGAGAAAGTGGAAATAACCATATAGCAACGGTTAACAAACTATACGGTCACAAATGGTTTGTTGTAACTATGTAACTGCAACACCAGCAGCAGGAGGGGGAAGAAAAGGCTTGTTGACTTATCAGCTCCCGCTGGGACACTGGAATCGCAATAGGTAATGCAAAGAATTATGTAAATAAATATAGTGTGTGTATATGTGTGTGAGATATATATATATATATATATATATATATATATATATATATATATATATTTGACCTACAGTTGTGCTCAAAAGTTTACATACCCTGGCAGAAATTGTGAAATTTTGGCATTGATATTGAAAATATGACTGATCATGCCAAAAACTGCTCTTTTATTGAAGGAAGATGATCATATGAAGCCATTTATTATCAAATAGTTGTTTGGCTCCTTCTTAAATCATAATGATAACAGAAATCCCCCAAATGGCCATGATCAAAAGTTTACATATCCTGGAATGTTTGGCCTTGGTTCAGACACACAAGGGGACACACACGGGCTAAAAAATGCCAATTAGAGGTTAATGTTCCACATCTGTGGCTTTTTAAATTGCAATTGGTGTCAGTGTATAAATAGTCAATGAGTTTGTTAGCTCTTACATGGAAGCACTGACTAGGCTAGATACTGAGCCATGGGGATCAGAAAAGAGCTGTCAAGTACTGCATAACAAGGTAATGGAACTTTTATAAAGGTGGAAAAGGACATAAAAAGATGTCCAAAGCCTTGAATATGCCAATCAGTACTGTTCAATCACCTATTAAGAAGTAGAAATTTCGGGGATTTCTTGATACCAAGCCAAGCTCAGGTAGACCAAGAAAGATTGCAGCCATAACAGACAGACAGAAGAATTGTCTGGGATTCAAAGAAAAACCCACAGACAACCTCAAAAGAAAAACCGGCTGCTCTGGAAAAAGATGGTGTGGTTGTTTTTAAGGAGTACAATATGGTGATACTTGAACAAAAATTAGCTGTTTGGTCGAGGTGCCAGAAGCTTTTACTGCACCAATGCCACAAAAAAAATCCCAGTTACAATATGCCTGACAACACCTTAACATGCCTAACCAGGCCTTTTTGTGTCATTGATTCAGTAAAGGCTTCTTTCTGGCACCTTGACCATGCAGCACATTTTTGTTGAGTCATCATATTTATTTATTTCAGATACTTATAAAGCGCCGTCAATTTATGCAGCGCTTTACACATATATATTGTACATTCACATCAGTCCCTAACCCTCAAGGGGCCTACAATCTAAGGTCCCTAATTCAAATTCATACATACATACTAGGGCCAATTTAGACAGGATCCAATTAACCTACCAGCATGTCTTTGGAGTGTGGGAGGAAACCGGAGTACTGGGAGGAAACCCACGCAGGCACAGGGAGAACATGCAAACTCCTGGCAGGTAGTGCCATGGCTGGGATTCGAACCAACAACCCTAGTACTGCCAGGCAGAAGTGCTAACCATTTAGCCACTGTGCTGCCCATATTGTGCTCCTTCAAAACAACCACACTGTCTTTTTCCAGAATAGCCTGTATTTTTCTTGTGGTTACCTATGGGTTTCCCCTTTGTATCCCGAACAATTCTTCCGGCAGTTGTGGCTGCAATCTTTCTTGGTCTACCTGACCTTGGCTTATCAAGAGATCCCCAAACTTTCCACTTAATAGGTGATTTAACAGTACTGATTGGCATATTCAAGGCTTTGGACATCTTATGTCCTTTTCCATCTTTATAAAGCTCCATTACCTTGTTACGCAGGACTTTTGACAGGTTTTTTTTTTTTTTTTTTTTTTTGATCCCCATGGCTCAGTATCTAGCCTAGTCAGTGCTTCTACATAAGAGCTAACAAACTCATTGACTATTTATACATTGACACTAATTGCAATTTAAAAAGCAACAAATGTGGGACATTAACCTCTAATTGGCATTTTAACCCGTGTGTGTCACCTTGTGTGTCTGTACCAAGGCCAAACATTCCAGGGTATGTAAATTTTTGATCATGGCCATTTGGAGGATTTCTGTTATTATGATTTAAAAAGGAGCCAAACAACTATTTGATAATAAATGGCTTCATATGATCATCACCCTTCAATAAAAGAGCATTTTTTGGCATGATCAGTCATATTTTCAATATCAATGTCAAAATTTCACAATTTCTGCCAGGGTATGCAAACTTTTGAGCACAACTGTATGTCTGTCAGATAATACACCACTTCGGCCAGAAAATTGTTGCAATTACAAATGTTTAGGCATTCTCATGTTTATTTCTTTTGTTTGTATTGGTATGACACACAAAAGTGGACAAACAATAAGCCAAATCTGACACATTCCACACACAACCCCAAAAATGGACTGGAAAAAATAATTGCCACTCTCAATTTAATATTTTGGTAGCACATTCCTTGGAAAAAATAACTGAAATCAATTGCTTCCTGTAACCATCAATGAGTTTCTTGCACCTCTGTACTGGAATTTTGGACCACTCTTCTTTCACCAACTACTCCAGGCCTCTCAGATTGGAAGAGTTTCTTTTTCCAACTGCTGTTTTGAGATTTCTCCACAGGTGCTCTATGGGATTGAGATCTGGACTCATTGCTGGCCAGTTCAGTACTCTCCAGCGCTTTGTCTTAAACCATTTCTGGGTGCTTTTTGACATGTACTTTGGGCCATTGTTCTGCTGTAAGACCCATGGAGACCCAACTTTCTCACACTGGGCCTTACATTGTACCTTAGAATTCTGTGATAGTCTTCAGATTTCATAATGTAATGCATACGGTCAAGATAATCCAATGCTTGAAGCAGCAAAGCAACCCCAAACTGTGGCCCAGGGGCCAGATGTGGCCCTTTTGCTTGTCTTTAACTGGCCCTTGGGTCACTATTCCACCAACTGACACAAATGATGGGACACCATCAATAGCACTATTCCTCCCATTGATGCCCTCAATAGGGTCTTCTTCCTCCCATTAAAACCAATGATGGAACATTGTTTATGCCCACTGATGCAGTGGCATTTTCTACTCCTACTGGCCACAATCCCCCCACTCCAAAGCCTGAAAGACAGAAAACTGGCTCTTTTGCTAAGAAAATGTGGAGTACCTCTGCTATAAAGGACAGGCTTCAACTGGAACGTAAATTGTCAGATTTCTATACTTGCCCTATCCAGCCATTTTGATGATAGTTAAAAAAAAAAAAAATGTACACCTCCGATCAAACATCCATTCTAGCAGCTGTGGACCTTCTATGAACTGCTGTAAATTTGCTTATGGATGATCATCCACCCATATAGGTTTATAAATCAGATTAGTGCAGGTGCAGCACTGTGCCGGCTAGCTCAGAGAAAAGCAGAATCAACAACGTGGTAGATCTATAGCTGCTGGAATGAAATATCAGATCTGAGGTATACCCAGATGTGGTATAGTGTTTTGGGGCCCTAATAAAAAAATAAAATCCATTTGCATTGTTATGCATGGTTAAAATGTTCACATTGGCAACTACATTATTGGTTTTATGGGTAATGTGCTCATAATGTCAGGTCAGCACTTGATTTTTTTTTTCTTTTGTGATGGGCACAGATAACTGTACTTAAGATTAGCAATTGTGTACCAGGCAGGTGAGTGGATATAATTAATGCATTTGTGGATATGGAGTCTCATACTTGAATTATGCTATAAACCACAACAGAAAAGGAGTATATTTTAAACAGGCGGGTTATTTCCTGTTCTTTGGGTGCAAAACTCGGTGAGGTGCTCCCACTCATTCCTTCCTTCCTTCCCTTCTAAACAATGGAAAATGCAAACGTACCTTGATCAGGATCTGATCTGGACAGAGGATGTTGATAATATGCCTCTGAGTTGCAGCACTTTATGTATGTGAATGCAAGTTATCTTACAAATGTATTCTAAACTGCTGATGTTGATTTAATGAGCCTTCATTCCTATTGTTTCCTCACAGCTTTGACAAAATGATTAGTGGAATGTATATGGGAGAAATTGTGCGTCATGTGCTTGTCAAACTGACCAGTCAGGGATTACTCTTTGGTGGTGTGTCAACACAGCAGCTTCTTAAAAAAGGAACCTTTGGAACTAAGGATGTGTCGGACATTGAGAAGTGAGTGATGTTTGCATCAATGTTTTAAGTTCAAAAAATTGCATTTTTTTTAATATTTAAGGGTGTTAAATCAATTTGAAAGGTTAGTATTACAAATATTGCACTGGATTATTACTAACAGTGTCTCTTAATCCTTTCATATACCTATATTGGGTTGAATATTCAATAAATGGAATCTGTACAGCACAGGATAGGCACCCAATGCAATACCCCTATCCTTTAGCATTGCACAGTACATGTTCTACTGGTCCTAACCTGGATCGACATTTTGCAACAATACATTTATGCCATAATTATATTTCTATTGATGGTTTATGGGGGGTTTTAAAGGGAAAACTTTTTTTTTTTAATCATTGTGCCAACTCTAAGCACAGGCAATACTGTACATAATGATAAATGCTGCCCAGCATATGCTGCAAAGCATTTTTGTCACTGCCAATGTGGTGCTCCTACATGGAAGTCTGGAAAATATATTCACTTGGTGGTTATGGAACTATTTTTTTCCAGACGTTGATGACCGTTCTGCATAGCTCAACAAAACTAGCAGTATTTATACACAGCAACAAATCACCCTATAGTATCCCAGAAAAGTTATCCACCTCCACCCTTGAAGGCTAATTAAACGAAAATATAAAACTTTTCCCTTAAACAAATAAATAACAATCAAACAATAAAATAAAATAAAACCAACATAAAACCATAAAAATGTCCAAAATATCAAAATATCCAAAATTCAAAAAATACAAAAAATAATCCCCACAGGATTATTTCTTACTTCTGAAAAAGTCATAGGAAGTGACGAAACGCGTGACTTCAGACGTATCGACGTTGACCGGAAGTGCGATCGCGGCCATCTTGGAAGTGGGAACATGTGGCCAATGTTTCCCTGAATCTGTCCACATTTGTATCCCTGTGAGGAGGAGCTGTTTTCACCCAGATTTTATGTGAGTTACCAATAAAGGAGGATATTTTATATACTATCTGTGACTGTGGATGTTCTTGAGGATAATGGAAGAAAAACCCTAGCATTGGATAAAATCGGTATGAGGAGATGATTAACCCAGAGTGGTGTTTTGCCCTGATGTTTCTTATATAGGGTAATTACCCATCAGCATATGAGTTGGAGAGTGTTGTTTTGGGTTTAGGGGATCACTGATGTATACAGGGTGTGGTGATACACACTTGCAGTGATAATTGGGAGCTGTTTTTTACACATTGTGCTTTTGACACTTTTTTATGTGAGAGTGTTTCACTTATATCTATATTCACTATAGAATATTTGCATGTGTATAGATACTCCTCTATAGAGTATACACACATTTATAAAGATTTTTGCATGCTGCACAGTGAGTGGCACGTGTGTTGTATTATTTAAAAGGTATGACACTATGTCAAGTTTTTTCTTTTTGAGGTGTACTGTCATCAGGATTTGCGGGTATTGAGAAGGAGTTTTTGATGAAAGAAGAAAGAAAATTATCATTTACACCTGTGGGGATTATTTTTTGTATTTTTTGGATATTTTGATATTTTGGACATTTTTATGGTTTTATGTTTTTTATGTTGGTTTTTTTTTATTTTATTGTCTATTTGATTTGTTATTTATTTGTTTAAGGGAAAAGTTTTATATTTTCATTTAAAACTAGCAGCATGTATGTGAAATATTTGTGCTTTCTCCCTTCTAGTGACAATTTTCCTTTTGAGAAAACTAAAAGTGTTTTGGCTGCCTTGGGTCTAAAGCCAAGTGAACAGGACTGTGTCCAGGTAAAGTGTGTGTGCAGTGCGGTGTCTTTGAGGTCTGCCAGGCTGTGTGCTGCTGGACTTTCTGCAGTTGCCAGCCGCATAAAGAACAATCGCCAGCACTATCTGGGTAGAGTCACAGTGGGCGTCGATGGATCTGTCTACAAAACAAACCCCAAGTAAGAAGGCTTTAACTTTCGCTCTGTAAACATTTTATAGCAGTATAAATGTTTGAGTTCTAAGTTATGGATAAAGTCTGTTGGATTTGTTCAACCTCCTAACTTTTTACTTCGCCTAACAGCTTTGGTCGTAATGTTTTTAGATTTTGTGTTGGGCATTGTGATAGAAAATGGCTTGGTGACTACATTGCCCAGCATAAATCAGGGTAGATGTCATGGTGAGGGAACAAGACCTGTTGTCAGGGACCCCAGTGGTTGCCGCGATCGAGTGCGGGTCTGCGCATGCGCGGTGTGCCCGGCCACACAAGCCTGGCACCAATCAGGGCGCCCTATTTAAAACCGGATTAGGCTGCAGTGAATTGCCGTATGGTCTTACCTGTTTCCTGAGTTCCTGATTAGTAGATTGTCTTGTTGCCGACCCTGCCTGATCCTGATTTGCTGTCTGTCTCCTGCTCTGATCCCTGGCTTGTCTGACCATTCTCCTGCTTAACCCTGCACGTTCTGATCTCCTGCTACCGAACCCGGCTTGTGACCTGTTTATCCCTCTGCCTGCTGACTTTGTACTACGCCGCCACCACTGTTACCGACCTGGCCTGCCCGACGCTGCTCTTGCTACCTCCTCACATCAGACTCTCACCTGCTATACACCTGCTACCACAGCTGGGTGAACCCAGGGGCTGCGACCTGGTCTCGGCCTGCTCCAAGTCCATCCCCACCATCGGGCCCTGGTGAACAAGCAGGTCGGAGTTTAGATTCCGTGCCTTGGGGGAGTCCAGTCTGTGGAGTGCTAGAGGCTACCGCAATAGGATCCCTGACACGTGGTTTCCTGTCCAGGTCCTTCTCCCGCACCCCCCCCCCACAAATCTTCCAGAAACAGAGAAATATTTGATTCCTTTGGCAAGTTTGGCTGGTGTGACCCCTTTATCCTACTTTTTAAAGATAGGATTTTGCTGTTTTGCTTCTCCTTGGAAGCTGTTCTTCACCCTAGAAACAAAAAAAGAAAGTCATCAGCTACAAATGCTGCTATATAATTTAAGAATGACAGTAGTGGTGTATTTTTGGTTTTGTGCTGCCCTAGGCAAGACTAAAATCTGTCACCTCCCCGTCTAAATTTGCCCCACCCCTTCTTATTTAAAACCCACCCCTTCATCTGTAAACTCCACCTCTTCCTGTTAAAGCTCCATTTCTTCTCTGTACATTAAAAGCGGATAACGAGTGCATATATTTGGCCCCATCATTGGTGTCAGTGGGAGGAGTAGTGTCCCGTCATTGGTGTCATTGACACCAATGATGGGGCACTATTCCTCCCACACTGACACCAATGATGCTTGCATTGCTGACCCCTCATCCAGGCCCGGATCCCTCCTTCTTCCTTCCACAGCCAGCATACCTGCAGCAGCATCCTCTGCTCTCCCCAGATCCTGGCCGCACGGCACAGACATTTATTGACCAGCTGTCTTCCTTGTCCGGCCACTCTCCTCCTCTTCACTGGCTCCGACTGCTCCCTCACACCGATCAACTTCCTCATGCTGCCGCTCGGCTCCTCCTCTTTGCCGGTGTGCTTTTCATGGTCTACATATCCAGCGGCCAATCACCGGTGAGGAGGCGGAGCTTGCAGAGGGAGGGACAGACTGCCATAGGACCCCCAGTGATCCCGGGGGTGTGGCCAGATAAGAGAGGGATGGGTTGGCACGTCACCCAGGAGAAGGAAAATTCCCGGCCACATCATGGTATCTGTGATCCATCATCCCCCGGGAAATGAGTGAGACTCCCGACACCCTCTCTACCCTTCCCCCAGCAGTGAATTCGTGGATCGAAACGAAGTGGGACATATGTAAGTGTCAGCAACCGACTGGCGGTAACCCACTGGCCAGAATTCCCCAGGGCGCGGAGTCTAAGCCTCAGTCTGCTGGTTCACCAGAGCCCCTGATGGTGGGGATGGACTTGAAGCAGCCGGAGACCAGGTCGCGACCCCTGAGGAATACCAGCTGTGGTAGAGGCGGACGCCAATGGCGTAGAGCAGGTGAGAGCCAGACGTGAAGATGTATGCGAGGTCAGACGGGCCGGGTCAGTACAGCGGAGCAGACAGTGCAGAGCAGCAGGCAGAAGAATAACTGGTCACAAGCCGGGTTCAGTAATGGGAGATCAGGCAATCAGGAACAGGCAAAGAATAGTCAGGACGTAGCCAGGAGTCAGAGCAGGAGAAGACAGCAGGATCAGGACAGGCTTGGGTCGGCAACAAGGTATCAGGAACACAGGATTAACCAGGAACACAGGAACAGGGCAAGACCAGAAGGCGATTTGGAGATGCACAGGGCAGGTTTAAATAGGCCGCCCTGTGCTCTCATTGGTGCGGCCGCGATCGCTAGTGCGCATGCGCGGCCGCCGCCGCGATCGCCTAGGATTCAGTGCTCGCTGGATCGGACGAGTCGGCGCTCTGCGCATGCGCGCACCGCCGAGACGCCGGGATCCCTGACAGTAAGCTACATAACAGCCCCTGTCCTAAGTGTCACTTCTGTGGGAAAAGTGCCGCCCTAGGCAAACGCCTTGTTTGCTTTGCGACAAATAAGCCCTGGCATGTACCTGTCCAGTAAACCAGCATGGTCCTCAACGGAGCCGGCTCTTCAGGTCCCTGGCACCACATGTTTACTTTGGGAAGCCAGCTGTGACTGCTTGCAGCTTCCCACTGTGCATGTTCAAGCCATGCTGCGCTTTGCGAATAGTCCTTGAGGCTTCGGGGACCTGTGATGTGTCCCACAAGGCTGCGGGAGAAGGGGAGTCATACTTAGTCTCCCACACCCCACTCGCCCTCCAAAAAAGTGGTAAAACTTAGAGAAGGAGGGGGGGGGAGCAAACAAGCGGAACTTCCCCCTTTTAGGCGACATTCTGCTTTAAATTTGTGCAATATGATGCTAGCCAGTTAAAGGCTAAGTTCACCTGTCTGAACATGTTACACCCGTATTTAGGGTGCCACGTGTTCAGCATGCACTCCCTTTCCCTCCAGTTTGCACCTCTTACCTCTTCAGAAGAAAGTTTGTAAGTAACAATGATGCTTCTTTGTATCTGTGCATCATGCTTATAAATGGTGTTTTAAAAACTTTGTTTTTGAGAGCCAGCTATTTGCTAATAATTGCCAGTAAAAAATACAATAGGAGCACATACAGGGAGTGGGTGCTATGTACACCCTGCATACTTTTTAAATTATTATTTTTTTGCGCGGGGGGGGGGGGGGGGGGGCGCAATACATATTGTGTCTGCAACTGCACTCTGCAGTATGATGGTCTAGTTACTTGCTGCTTTCAGTCAATTTTCCCCTTTTTTTTGTGGAACAAAACAATTGGACACAGCTGGACAAGCAGAACAATAACTTTTGTAAAATACATTGTCAGTTAAGTTGTTTTTACAGTGGCATATTTAGGCGGGTGTGGGGAGTGCAGTTTGCACTGTGTTGACTTTAAGGGGGTGCTATGGCCACTTTTTTTTTTTTCCCATGTGTGGAACAGCGTGTTGTGCAACACCAAAAAAAAAAAAAAAAGTCAAAGTCAGCACTCGGTTCATCTGACAGTGGCAGTTCAGAGCCACCAGAATTAGTTGAAGATATATTCTGGTTCTCTTTTTATATCACTTCATTTTATTTTTCTTTGTTCCATATCCTTCCCCCATCTCCTCCCCCCGTTACATTTTCTTTCTTATTCTACTCTCTTCTACCCTCTCCTTTCCCCTAAATCTGGTTACATACACTCAGTGGTGGTGGGTTTTATTTTTGTTTGTTCAACCTAGCGTTGACTGAGAGGAAAGAAAAGTCAGATTGCTTTACCAACACAAGTGATGTTGGTGCATCGACCTCCACCACTGTGCCTTTGTGTTTTTACAGGGGAACCGTTTCCTTCTGAATCTGCCAATATTGAATGTGGGTACAAGGCTTTACTCCTTTTCCCTCACATTTTATCCCCCTACGTCTGTCTCTACAACCTGCTTTATTCCTTTCCTGCCCATGCTTTTTATCCTTTCCTCCCACACTCATCATATATATATATTTTTTTTTTTTTCCTTTTTGCTTTTCCCTCTCTGCCCTTCCCCACTTTATCACCTGTAGGAGTGTTTTGTCATTCAGCTACTGATCTCCTGTAGATCAATACAACTGGATATGTCTGTAAAGGTTCTTATTTATTCAAGTGTACCTAGTAGGTAGTTGCATTGAACTGAATGTTTTTTTTTTCTGTAATGTTGAAGATGTTTCCTAGCTTACCAAGCCATTCCTTCAGGAAGATACTCCCCAGCATTTGAATTCACACTTAATCAAATCACCATAGAATGTGCAGATGTTAATTGTCCAAGATGGAAGGTGTGCAGTTGTAGAACACTGTTCTAGGTACATAATCCCATTGTTGTCAGCCTGAATAGGTGTTGGTGCTTTGATATACACAGCTAAGGCAGCACAGTGGCTAAATGGTTAGCACTTCCGCCTGGCAGTACTAGGGTCGTTGGTTCGAATCCCAACCATGACACCACCTGCCTGGAGTTTGCATGTTCTCTCTGTGTCTGCGTGAGTTTCCTCTGGGTACTCTGGTTTCCTCCCACACTCCAAAGACATGCTGGTAGGTGAATTGGATCCTGTCTAAATTGGCCTTAGTATGTGTATGTATGAATGTAAGTTAGGGACCTTGGATTGTACACCCCTTGAGGGTTAGGGACTGATGTGAATGCACAATATACAGTGGGGATCGAAAGTTTGGGCACCCCAGCTAAAAAGTTGTATTAATGTGCATAAAGAAGCCAAGGAAAGATGGAAAAATCTCCAAAAAGCATCAAATTACAGATTAGACATTCTTATAATATGTCAACAAAAGTTAGATTTTATTTCCATCATTTACGCTTTCAAAATAACAGAAAACAAATAAATGGCGTCTGCAAAAGTTTGGGCACCCTGCAGAGTTAATATCTTGTACTGCCCCCTTTGGCAAGTATCGCAGCTTGTAAACGCTTTTTGTAGCCAGCCAAGAGTCTTTCAATTCTTGTTTGAGGTATCTTTGCCCATTCTTCCTTACAAAAGTCTTCCAGTTTTTTGAGATTTCTGGGCTGTCTGTCACGCACTGCTCTTTTAAGGTCTATCCATAGATTTTCAATTATGTTGAGGTCAGGAGATTGTGAAGGCCATAGCAAAACCTTCAGTTTACGCCTCTTGATGTAATCCCCCGTGGATTTCGAGGTGTGTTTAGGATCATTATCCATTTGTAGAAGCATCCTCTCTTTAACTTCAGCTTTTTCACAGATGGCATCAAGTTACCATCCAAAATTTGCTGAAATTTTATTGAATCCACTTTTCCTTCTACTCGTGAGATGTTCCCTGTGCCACTGGCTGCAACACAACCCCAAAGCATGATTGATCCAACCCCATGCTTAACAGTTGGAAAGAGGTTCTTTTCATTAAATTCTGTGCCCCTTCTTCTCCAAACGTACCTTTGCTCATTCTGGCCAAAAAGTTCAATTTTTAAACCTCATTGGTCCACAGAACTTGTTTCCAAAATGCATCAGGCTTGTCTATATGTTCATTTGCAAAGTTCAAACGATGATTTTTGTGGTGGGGACGTAGAAGAGGTTTTCTTCTGATGTCTCTTCCATGAAGACCATATTTGTACAAGTATCTTTTTATAGTGGAATAGTGTACCACAACTCCAGTGTCTGCCAGATCTTTCTGGAGGGATCGTGCAGTCAAACGTGGGTTTTGAATTGTTTTTCTCACAATCCTGCGAGCTGTTCTGTCTGATATTTTTCTTGGTCTTCCAGATCTTGCTTTAACTTCCACTGTTCCTGATGACTGCCATTTCCTAATTACATTCCGAACAGAGGATATTGACATCTGAAAACGCTTTGCTATCTTCTTATAGCCTTCTCCAGCTTTGTGAGCGTCAACTATTTTCAGTTTCAGTTTTTAGACAACTGCTTAGAAGAACCCATGGTGCTGATTGTTGGGGCAAGGTCAGATGAGTCTGGGCATTTAAAACCTTTGAGATTGACATCACCTGGTCTTCCCAGACGATGATTGAGAACAATCCATGACACTGGCAGGTCTCAGTTTGGCAAAGGGGGCAGTGCATGCTATAAATTCTGCAGGGTGCCCAAACTTTTGCAGATGCCATTTTTTTGTTTTCTGTTATTTTGAAAGTGTAAATGATGGAAATAAAATCTAACTTTTGTTGACATATTATAAGAATGTCTAATCTGTAATTTGATGCCTTTTGGAGATTTTTTCATCTTTCCTTGGCTTCTTTATGCACATTAATACAAATTTTTAGCTGGGGTGCCCAAACTTTCGATCCCCACTGTATATGTAAAAGTGCTGCGTAAATTGACAGCGCTATATAATTACCTGAAATAAATAAAGGTGTTAATTGTCAAATCGCCAGGGTGGAGGTTATCTTGGGTTGTGTAAGGGGTGGGCTGGGATTTAGGGATTATTATTCAGGATTTTTTATAGCACCAACAGTTTTCTCAGCACTTTAGAACATGAGGGCAGACCGTACAGTTACAATACAACTGAATACAGTAGGAGTCAGAGGACCCTGCTCATTGGAGCATACAATCTAAAAGGGAGGGTCAAGTGATACAAAAGGTGATAATTCTGGGAGATGAGCTGATGGAGAAAGTTAAAAGTACAGTTGTTAGGATGGAATAACTAAGTAATGGTCTGGCACTTCACATACATTAATGTATATTGTACCAATAGCTGAATTCCACCAAAATGTGCCAAAATCAATTCTTCTGGTGCTTAATAAATATCTTTGCGGAACTCCTCTGTGTTCCAGCACCATGTGTCAATAATATTACACTCGCCAATCATCCATGACCCCTTACTTAAAAGGACACTTGCGCTTTGTATCACCAGGATTTTTGGTCTCAGTGGATTTTTTTCTCTATATTCTCCCCATTTATTTCACAATTCCAAATCAACTTAAGTCAAAATAAAAGATTCTCATGGTTTAGTATATGTATTGACGTCACTTCCATTTCTGGCAATTTGAACGCACGTCGGCTCTGGGGGGAGGAGGAGTGGTGGTGGTGCAGTATAGCTGAGTGTATTTGTTCCGAGGAGTCGATCTTCCAGATTGTAGCTATCTGGCTTTGCCATCCTCAACCTGGCTTTTAAGGTGCAATACCTGGATGCTGCTTGACTGGACATTGCATGGGTAGTCTAGAAGTGACCTTCAAGCACTGGGTTCAGTGTAAGGTGCTTTCTGGACCATGTACTGGTAACAAATTAATCCCAAGTACTTTCCAGGTCTTGAACTGATGGCATTGCCTCAACCCTTACTGTGCTGTGAAGGTTGCTGGGCACTTTTTTTTTTTTTTTTTAATTTCCTGTTTTTTTTGCCATGGAAGGTGTTAATAATGTTGGACTAAGTGCTGACATCCTATGCTGAGTGAAGTGTTGTGCACAATGCCATTTCCCACCCTGCAGTACCAAGGAAGCATCTCGCCACTTCTGCTCCTGCTTGTAGAAGAGCCATGTGGATTTATGACTCAAAGTTCATGCCTGCTGCCCACCTACAGTGACACCTCTCACCTCATCTACTGCCAGATGTCTGGGTTTTATGAGTACTCAAGGCCCTGCCTCATGCCCTGTGATTACTTGCCTTACTGCTGCATGGTTGAAATATGTCTGGTTCTAGACACAGAGGGGACAATACTCGCACTCAAGGCTGCTGGGGCTTGTCATATGTCCTTTTAAAGGTACCAATGCACCAAATGGGGATAGCAGTGGATGTTCTGGTGCCTCTGATATCTATATGCCTTCCTCTCTTCATCTGCTTTTATGACAATTTCCCTTGCTCAGGATTACCCCAGGTGAATGTACTTTGCCAACCTGGTAAGGCTTCTAACTGTTGCTCCATGGGCCCTAACAGATTGAATACTCCATCTATGTATAATGGGGCTTCCTGTGCATGCAGGTTAGGCTAGAGTATGATTCTCAACACCATAACATCTGGATTATTCATTGCTATTTTTAGTTAAGAATGGTAACCTTCCATCCCTTACACAAAACCTTGTATTGGGAGCTCCCATATACCTTCCCCCATTTTTTTTCATTGTAACTCCATGGAATCAAGCTTTGGTTCTCTCTGCTGTTTAGGAGCCACCTTTTTGTATGTGTTGGAATTATTTATACTTTCACCCTACAGGGTTTCTTTCCTGGTAGCCATGTAAGATAAGCATCTGACTTGAAAGCCTTTCCATGCTTGGAACTCTTGGACATTTAATGGTATCAGGCAAATTGAGACCTAGGCCTTTCTTCTGACCTAGGGCAGTCTCTGATCCCCTCTTCAAGCAGGACACAATTATTCTGTCCCTCTTTGGCTTCAGTTCTCTGACAGGATCTTTTCTTCCTTGTTTGGCTACTGACTCTGACTACAGCAATTAACTTTTTTTTGTGGCCATCCCAGATGGGACACTGTAGGGTGATTTTTTTTTTTTTTTTCCTTTTTGAGATTCTTGTTACACCACTCTGGGTGCGTTATGTAAACCAGCTTCCAAACTTGTTGTCAAGAGGATTGTGTTTTCTCCTTCCCCTTTGATACTTGACTGGTTAAGTGTCCTTGATATTTCTGGTATAAAACATCGGTTTTACTATGTTAACTATTCTTCCCATCCCCCAGTCAGACTGCTTTTTGATGTTCCAAGGTCTTGGAGTCCATTTAGGGATATGGTTTCTCCCCCTTTTCGGTTTGGTTTTGTGTTTTTTCTTTCTGTATCATGCTGTTGGTACTGCTTTGCTACTAAAGTGGGGGACATGCTAATAGTGAGAGGGGGTTATCTTTGTCTGGACATTTATTTATTTATTTTTCATTTTGTATTTTTTTCTTGTCAGTATACAATACTCCTATAGGCAGCAGTATAACATGGAGGTTAAGACTTACTGTGTACCTGAATGGACTCCAAGAAAACTGTTTTGACAGTACAACATTCCTCTGGGATTTGTTTTTCCTCTCCTGGTGTCCAAGGAATTAAGCATAAGTAGAAAAAGTTCTAACTTTTCCCTGTTCTTTCCAACACTATAACAATGACTTGCAGTTGGAAAAATTGCACACAGTCTTTAATACCTATCTAAGGAGGCATGTTACATGCTACCCTTTTATTAATTTTTTTAGAAAAAGTACAACTTTGAGTGGTCACTTTTTTTTTTTCACCCCTTGATACTGATTGGCATTATCATAATTATAGGTCTTATTGCTACACAATTAAACTAGTGATCTCTACACAATTATTTCTCTGTATATCTTTCAGATTTGGTGAACACCTCAATGAAGCTTTGAGAGAGCTTGCTCCAGGATGTCAAGTTAAGTTTTTGGTTTCTGAGGATGGAAGCGGAAAGGGCACTGCCATAGTAACAGCTGTAGCTCAAAGGCTTGCAACCCAGAGAAAGCACATTGATGAAATCTTAGCCCCTTTTCTTATGTCCGAAGCAAAGCTAAAGGAGGTTCAAGGCCGTATGCGTAATGAAATGGAGATTGGTCTACATAGGCAGACACAGCCTGGAGCTACTGTGAAGATGCTTCCCACCTATGTACGCGCTACGCCAGATGGAACAGGTAACTGTCAAATGTTGATCAATCTCCACAAAATCATGTATAATGAGCTTTGTTTTCATGGGAGACAAATTAGTCAATCTATCCTCAAAGCTAAAAATTGATGAGAAATTATAGGTTATGGATTCTAAACCTGCTATGATTGGACCAGCCTACGTAAAGCTGAGTGACATTCCATGAATTAAATGCCTTTTTTCCCCCAGACAACCTAGAAGCTAGTTAATTGTAAACCCAAAACTATTCAGTATGTTTGACATTTATGTTTCACTGTAAACCATTTTCTTCAGCAATTCCTATTTGTAAATCTGTTAAGTTTCCTACCTGGTGATCTTGCCAGTAGCAACATTTCCTGTTTCAGGCTGATGGGCCTAAACCATTCCCTACAAAAGTAACAGCAACCTTTACGGCTTGCTGTGCACACTCCTGCAGTAGGTCCTCGGGTTACCCATTTTCAGACTTGATAGAAAACTCCATGACTAACTGAACTTGTTTGGCTTACAGTGTTGCTGTTCATTGAGAGGCAGTGGCTTAGCAATTCAACAGGAAGTATTGTCCCTGGCAGGAACATCCGATAAGAAATTTCTGCAACAGATTCACAAACAACTTTACACAGCAAGAGGCAATACTAAATATATATATATATATATATATATATATATATATATATATATATATATATATATATATATATAAAAAAATCCGTTTTCCATTCCTGTAATTTTTTTTTTTTTTTTTTGTGTGTTTATTGGTGGCTGACACTGGGTAACCTTGCTTTAAAAACAAACCAAAAAAAGAGGCTGCCATTGCTGAACTCTGACATTGGCTATGAATAATTCTGCTTGGCAACATGTATTAATACAAACGTTCATATTTTTAATAAGTTACTACTGTCCAGTCTGACCTTAACGGGAGGTTAGCAGCTATGGTAATTCATGATTTATGTGCCATGAAAAAATCTTTGGCTTCTGTGGAATTTACTACCTACTCATTAAGTGGTGTTTTAAATGGCAGCTTTGTTGTGCTTCATGAATATCCACTTAGTTTTTATTAGTCAAAAGTGGTGCTGCTGTGGCAATGTTGTTATTTTGGCGCGACAAAGGTTGGTTACATTACATGGGCTGATGCCATTTTTAAACAGAGGATGATTTTTTTTTCTTATGCTGGGCTCTGCTTGAGATAATGAATTTAATTTTTCCTATTACAGAAGTTGGAGAATTCATTGCTCTGGATTTAGGTGGGTACCAATTTCAGAGTTTTGTGTGTAAATGTGGGCTTGAAAAATGAGGGTGGCGTACAGATGAAAAGCAAGACCTTTACCTTGCCTACTGAAGTGATTCAAGGGACTGGAGAAGGGGTATGTATCTCCCTCTTAAGAGCAATGATATTTTGAAATCTGTAATGTACAAATTTTAGACAGTGGTTGATTTAACCTAACATTCCCTTCCTTTTGTGTGTTCTAGGATGTCCAAATTCTGCTAGAATATTCCAATATTTTTATACAAATTTCTAAACTCCCACTTTGCACCATAAAATTGATTTAAAAAGCTAAATGGCAGCAAAACAAAAAAAGGCAACACATTAATGAATTGAATATAGTTTATAGTACAAATTTTGGATAGTACTCATTTTTGTAAGGCATGGTGATGTATATAGAAGTATTTGATTTTTTTTTTTTTTTTTGATTATTTATACAAGTAGAGCTGACATCAAGGAACAAAAGTTAATTAAACTGGGAGATCTGAAAGTGAAGATATAGATATAGATACAGATCAGCAGAAGAAGTGTGCTATTTACAAGGACTCCAGGCAATAAAGCAGAGGTGTGAAATGAGCACCATTTGATCATGGCATTTTGTCCGTTATCTGTCTAGGAGCATATTTTTAAAATAGACAAAAAATACAGCTTGGCTAATGTCTCAGGAGCACATACATCTCTTGTCCTCATTTAGGGAACAATGTAATGTATTCAGTTTCTGAATTAATGTATATTCCTGGTCCTTCCTGTAACTGGGGTTGGTTTAGGAGTAGAGCAGGTTTACGTTGCAAAGTGGATTTTCACAGATTTTTAGTGAATGAGGTGAAGCTAAGTAAACTTTCATTTTGCAAAGGAGATCCAATGTGCATCTCTTTTTACTTGATTATTTGCAAGGTGAATTTTCACTTGGCTTCACCTCATTCACTCGAGTGAACATGTTCTATTCATTTATTATTCAACCCCATTTCACTTTAGAATAGTGACCCACCATGTTATATACTGAGGGCAATTCAGCAAAATTGTTCTGTCAATAGAAGGTCCTTCCTGCTGTTAATAATAAATTGTTGCAAATGTATTCGCTGATGAAATGGTTGCCTATTTTAAGTAATAAAAAGCCATGTGGTGAGAATGTATTTTTGAGATTGCTTTGTTCCAACATAACATTTCTTTAAAATTTTAAGCTTTCTGTAAATCAATGCACTGTTAAACTATTATAAATGTACGTACATCTCTGAAAAGCAAAGACAGTTGACACCATGAAATTGATAAAACTTTTATTATGGTATGCCATAACAGATGAGGATAAAATGTGACAAATCTTGCAAAAAAAAAAAAAAAGAGTAAAATTTGTCCAATAAATTAGACTGGGCATTTTCAAGTAATTTGAATTGTCCTCCATTGACTCTGCAGACCTAAGCCACTACAGTGGACATTGTTCTGGGCAGGAGACTCAATATCAACTGTTGTGTATGTTTAATTGGGTAAGATGGGGTCTGGTCACCTTTTTTGGAACAAGTTATTACAAACCTTTTTTATACACCTTGTCTGTGTAGTATGAAAATTCAATCTCATAAAACCAAGTATTGGTGCTGCAACCCATTCAATCGCTCAGCAGAGTTTACAGGTGCTCAATCCACAGTTGCTCGGCTGTAAATGATACTCCATTAAGATGATCTGCACAACCGCTATTGCTCTTAAAATATTGAATTTATTTTGAAAGCCACAGTGTACAATTACAAATACAGCAAGTTACACATACTTGCTGTATTTGTAATCGTACACTATGGCTTTCAAAGTAAATGCAAGATTTTAAGAGCAATAGCGGTTGTGCAGATCATCTTAATGGACTATAGTATGAAAATTGTCAACACAGTGAAGTCATCCATTTTGGGACCTATACCTACCTTTTTTAGCCTTTCTGTTTTGAGCTTGTGTCTCAGGGAAGTTTCCAGTCTTTTCTGTCCTATATATTAGGTCTGCTTATTTCATTACATTGATGCAGTGGAATTTGAAATAGTGTCATAAATATATGATTCATGACTGTGTTTTAATCTTGGATCTGTGCAGCTATTTGATCACATTGTGGACTGCATCACAGAATTTCAGAAAGACACTGGCCTTCAAGGAAAGAAACTACCTTTAGGCTTCACATTTTCCTTTCCCTGTAAGCAGACCAGCCTTGATCAGGTAAGATGCTTTTTGGAGGTACTGTCCATCTACTAATATGCACCATATTTAGCACATTCAGAAGTAGAATGTCATGATGTACCTTAAGAATTAAGCAATTACCTCTATGCAGTTTTATTACAAAAATGTAATAAAATAAAACCTAAAAATTGGTTTTGAGCTTTTCCTAAAGGTTTCTGACAACCTTTTTGGTTCATTTTTAAATGGTTTATCAAAACCTATTGTTTCTATTCTTTGGAGGGTTGTGAGGGCAATAAAATGTTCTGAACTAGCTAAAGCAGGCCAATGACGAGTCGAAAACAAACAAAATGTTTTGTTGTTTGAAAAACAAAATGGCACATACGATTGGGCCATCATTTGTTTAGTTTTTCTAAACAAAATCCAGCATTTTGGATCAGGCACTTTCGTTTGAGACCTGAACATTGAGTGTCACTGCTGGCACACTAATGATGCGAAAAGTGAACAGCCAAGAATTTTTGTTGAGTGCTTGACTCATCTATGGCCTGCTCAAGTTCATTTAGAGTTGCTTAATCAGTTTTGAGTGGGTGTGCCCTTCAGAAATGCACACCATAATAACCGCAACACTTTCCTGACCCACACATAGGGGACTGCCATTGTCAATCCCCCTCTGAATGTGCTGGTTGTCTGTAGTGCACTGACCAACTAGACTCAATAAGCATTGAGTCGCTGACCAGCAAGAAGCATGCATATCTGTAAAATTGAAGTCTGACATCCCTTATTTTCATATTTTGTTTTAGTTAAGTGAAACAAAGTATTGAAGCAAGAGGATAGGCATGGCAGCCAGAAAACTAATATTTGCAGAATAGAAAATGGAAACCTCTGTGTCTTGGTCTGGAAAAAAATCATTTAAAGCTTTTGTATGGTGTTTCTTTTCCAGGGTATCCTAATTTCATGGACAAAGGGTTTCAGTGCATCTGGATGTGTAGGGGAAGATGTTGTCAGGCTTCTTAGGGAGGCAGCCAGTCGTAAAAACGTATGTACCCATGTATAGTACTTTCAATTTGTCTTCTTTGTGTATGAAATTCCATTCTGTAGTTAATGGTGAACCCCCCCCCTTCTTCTTCTTCTTTTTTTTTTTTTTTTTTTTTTTTTTTTTTTTGGGGCAGAACCATGATTTCCGTGTGGTAGCATTGGTGAATGATACAGTGGGAACAATGATGTCCTGTGGATATGATGATACAGCCTGTGAGATTGGACTGATTGTTGGTAAGATGTGCTGTATATAAATTATATTTTAGCATAAGCCATCAAATTGAGTGAGTTTTTGTTGTGCACATTTGGATTTATTTGGCTGAGGTTTCTTGTCTTTTACAGGAACAGGAACTAATGCTTGTTATATGGAGGAAATGAGGAATGTGGAAGTGTTTGGAAGGTGTCGAGGGACGGATGTGTATCAATATGGAGTGGGGGGCATTTGGAGACAATGGGTGCCTTGATGATATTACTACTTCCTTTGACAATGATGTGGATAAGTTCTCAATAAATCCTGGAAGACAAAGGTATGTTAAAATGGTGGTAGTACCTCTTTAGAGCATTTCTAATATCACCTTAAGCCTGTTGTTTTAGGTTTACATCAGTTAGTCAAAATGAGAAGAAATAATGTCCTATGAGCCGCACATCACTGCAAGACCCTGTGCATAGGTGTATGACAGCCTCAGCCTGGGCTCTGCCACCGGAGCCTAATTGTGACTAAGCTTGGGGGTCAGAGCGAAACACATTGGACCTGGATGGAGCCTGGGCTGAGGCAGTTATATACCAATGCACATGGTCTTGCAGTAATGTGTGGCTGATAGGACTTTCTTTCTTCTCATTTTGACACTTGGAGCTGAGACGAGCTCTGTCCATGCCTATGCTCTTAGCTATTTGTCTTAGAAGTGGACTCATTGGAGTCTTGAGTGGCATCCACTAACTCTGTATTTGGTTCGTATAGACTGTGTTATAGTATTTTTATACATTAATACAGGGATTAATAATCAAAAACATCTACCACAAATTTTTGGTCCTTTTTTTAAACCTAGAAATGTCGAGAAATTATTTGAGAAATTTCTTGAAAACGGGACACTCGAGCATTCCTTTTATCAACATAGGCACAAAAGAATAGTTCATTACTTACTAGCAGTCCTGGACAGGGATGAGTGGATTGATTCAGAAATGATGCAGATTTATTTTTTGTGGAAATTAATACTGACAAGTTCAGTCTGCAGAGAATCCTACAATTCATGAATCGCTGAATTGCCTGCGTTTTTGAACTACTGATTTATCACTCTTCAGACAGATCTGCATGTTAATATTTAACCAAATTAAACATTTGCATTTCAAAAATATTCCTTTTCTTCAGGAAGAGATCATTGAAGTCTCAAAAAATAAAGAAATAACAAGAAAAAAAGGAAGCGGGGGGCTGTCCACATGTCAGCAAGGTTCTGTGCTCCTGTTTACTGGTTAACAATTTGCCTGTCCTTAAAACAGGTTTTATGTAGAAACAGATATACTTTGCTTGCCTAACTCTGATCTTCCAGCAAAGAGGTTGTTTGCTTGAAAACGTGAACTCCCTTACCCTAGATTCACACCTAAGCGGTTTCAGCAGCGTTTTGCAGAAGCGCAGTACTGTCCATTTAACATAATTTCCTATGGGACACGTTCACATCTCCGCGTTTTCACCCAGTCCATTTTTTGGAAAGGGTCAAGAACGTTTTTGAATGCAAAAAGTTGTGTTTTAGGTTCTATAGACTTCAATGGAAATGCCGCATAAAAGTTTGTAGTGTGTTTTTGCTGCGTTTTTTGCATTTTAAATCTGCCTAGCAACAAGAAAAATAAAAAGCAACAAAAATGCATCACAAATACAAGTGCAAAACGCAACGCAGAAACGGGTCAAAGACAAACTGCATAGGTGTGAACCTAGCCTTAAGGTGGGTAGTAGGGCACGTTGGTGGATGATGCTGTGGAAGTATGGCAGATGATGATGGATGGTGTGTAGGGAAACTGGTACTGAGCAGCACTTCTAAAGAGTGGAGACAAACTCTGTGCAGAAGAAGGTGAAACAGGAGGGCGCTTCGAGTGCAGTATTCCAGGTCAGTTTAATAAAAAGCGGTCAATGTGGTAGTAAAAACAGGCTCTAGTGTAATCCATCAGTATCAGCGCTCTGTCCTGTATGCGATGGAGCCGCTGTGTCAGCCAGCAGCTGCAGGGGGAGCTTGAGGAGAGGTGTTTAAAGATGGCCGCCGCTCTGTTCGGACTGTTGGAATGCATGGTGTCTGTGGAACGGAAGTGACGTGAGCATGGAGCGGTGACACGTTTCGCAGCATGAGCAGAGCTCCTTCAGGACCGATGTTTAGGCTTAGGGAGAGCCAGTTAAGTTAAATAGGGTAAAAAGAAATGGGAAAAGGGGCGGTCAGTAGGAAGGTACACTCCTCCCAAAAAGATCAAGCTGGATGTAAATACAGAACGGACTGTTTGGTGTGAAACAATAGGGGACTGGGAAACCAAGAAATAAAAAAACAAAAAGAGAAATAAAATGGAGGCAAAAAAGCGATGGAGCCGCTGTGCCAGCCAGCAGCTGCAGGGGAGCTTGAGGAGAGATGTTTAAAGATGGCCGCCACTCTGTTCAGACTGTTGGAACGCACGCTGTCTGCGGGCCGGAAGTGACATGAGCATGCAGTGGTGACTCATTTCGGAGCATGAGCAGAGCTCCTTCTTCAAGAACGATGTACAGGCTTAGGGACAGCCAGTTAAAGGCGGGAAAAGGGGCAGTCAGTAGGAAGGATGTAAATACAGAGCGGACTGTTTGGTGTGAAACAATAGGAGACTGGGAAACCAAGAAATAAAAAAAACAAGAAGAGAAATAAAATGGAGGCAAAAAACGGAACTGTTTGTAAGAACTGAGTGGGGGTGTATAGCATATTGAAGAATAGTTAAAAACGGGATTTGAACATTATCTAAGAAGATATATAAAAATAATAAAAAGGATAATAAAATTATAATTACAACTGAGAGATGGGTAAGAGGGAAAAGAAGGGGGGGGGGGGGGGGGGAAATTGAGTGTGCAGACGGGTATCTGCTGTGGTGTGACAATGATACACATAGGTAACCTGGACACATTAGAAAATAAAAATTATAGTCAAGAGGTTACAGCATAATCATGGCACATAAGTACAGTCTAAACAAAAGATGACTACATAAACGCATGCATGTAGCCGCAGGCAGAGAGGAAACCAATATGTGTATGTGCATAGATGCATGCACACAAAAGCACGCACGTATATGCAAAAACAAGTGCACAACCCCATACAAACATGCATTCACTTGCATTAGCACACACAGGCATAATGCCCAGCACAAAACAAATTGTACGGTACTATAGGATTGGTATGGGTTTCAAGGTCCTCATTCAGACCAAGAGATAGTACATCTAATGTGTAAATCCAGGTCTCCCTATGGCTTAAGAGTTGGAATCTCAACTCTCAGGACATCAGTGGGCATGGCTTCAATTACCCAGACTCTTAGACCCTTAGTGGATTTAATATGTTGTTCTGAGAAGTGTCGGGGGACACTGTTCTGGTCAATGCCTTCTTCAAGACGGCGGCAGTGTCCACCAAACCGTACGAATGTTCTTCCTACATAATAAAGACCACAAGGACAAGCCAAACAATATAACACAAACTCAGAATAACGTGTAAAAGTCAGGGATCTTATGTTTTTTTTACCTTTTTAATGTCTTTTTGGCCTTGGTGGACAAATGGGCAGGTTAAAAAGAGTGATTTATTGCATCGGTACATGCCTGTATGGTTAGCACTTCCGCCTGGCAGTACTAGGGTCGTGGGTTCGAATCCTAGCCACGGCACCACCTGCGTGGAGTTTGCATGTTCTCCCTGTGCCTGCGTGGGTTTCCTCCGGGTACTCCGGTTTCCTCCTACACAAAGACATGCTGGTAGGTTAATTGGATCCTGTCTGAATTGTCCCTAGTATGTGTATGTATGAATGTGAGTTAGGGACCTTAGATTGTACACCCCTTGAGGGTTAGGGGCTGATGTGAATGTACAATATATATGTAAAGCGCTGCGTAAATTGACGGCGCTATATAAGTACCTGAAATAAATACTGGATAGTTTTAAGTGGCTGGAGCTTTGCTGTGTGTGAGACAGATATTGATGACTTTATGTAAAAGACAGCAGTTTGGGTATTCCAGTTGATAGATTCCCCACAAGAATCTGGAAGATATATCTGTCCACTAAATAGCACCTTTTCTTTATCATTTAAAACCTGATTACGATGTTGTTAGAAGAAAATTTTAAATGTTTCAATCTTCAAAATTCCTCCCAAGGTGTGTGTGGGTTTTTTTTTTTTTCTTTTTTAATGCCTTTCAGAGCCATAGCTTTCCATACCATTGCTTTATTGCAATGAATGTGACAGCGTGTCACCTCTTATTGTCTCCAGGTATGAGAAGATGATCAGTGGAATGTACCTGGGAGAGATTGTACGCCAGGTCTTAATTTTACTTACAAAGGATGGAATTTTATTCCGTGGCAACATTTCAGAACAGTTGAATACTAGAGGCCTATTTCCTACAAAGTATTTATCTCAGATTGAAAGGTAAGAGATTTTTTTTTTTACTGTATTTAGCTGCATTAAATTTAGATAGTCTTTCTGACTGTACTGATCTGAAAGAAAATGTTCATTGCTATTTCTGGGCAGTTATAGAAATGTAACAAGCCATTTGGGGGTTTTCGATAGGAAGGGAGGTCCCTGATGGGCATGAAATCATGCCACTGTGCATAGTAAAAGCTCAGACTATGAGCTGTTATGCTAATTAGAGGCTGTAAAGTGGGTGCATAATTTAAATAGTGGTTAACCTTGTAAGGGCTTCATTACTGTTGCTACCTTTTGTACCCGCTGTTCCTGTTTCACTTTTCATTCTATGAAATTTCTAAATCTGGCATGACCACTAAATATACTTTCTGTGATCTTGGTACTAAATTTGAAAGTGCCATTTTTGAGACTGTTGAATGAATCAGAGTTGTTAGCATTTTTTAAAATCAAACACATGAACATATTAACCAATGGTTTGGGACATTTGAAGGTCCCTTTTAATTAGACATGCTTGTTCAGAAGTGTTTTTGTTTTTTTTTTTTTTTTTTAAGTTTGGTCCCCAAGGCCTAATCTGTAGAAACGATGGTGCTCATATGCCGTACCAATGATGGCCAACAAGCCTGACACAAGTGTACATAGTTTTAAATGAATGGCTCTATATTAGACTGTACACCAGTGGTTCTTAATGCACAGTTGGCCAAGAGGTGAAAAGAAAATTATTTGTGTAGCTTGACTCAGTTTTTTAACAAGATGAATAAACTTCTCCATGCTTTTTGAATTTGTGATAAAATTTGGACATGCGGTTACCTTTTGATTTTTAAGTGGGCTCTTCTGCGCTCTCATGGGTATAGTGAAGGCCCACCTCACCAAAAGCTGTCAGGTTATCCTTTTTCTAACAGATTTCCTTTGTGAGCATCTAGTAGTTCTTCTAACTCAGCTCTGTGAATAGACAAGAAAAAGCAGGACCTGGAGGAGGATGGGGCTGGAGCTTATGTGCCAAATACACAATATTGCATTGTATTTACAGAGATTATATACAAATTATACACCAGTTGTATCTGCTTCCAGTGACAGTCTGGGACTCCTGCAGGTGCGATCCATTCTAACAAAACTAGGTCTGAAGAGCACATGTGATGATACGGTTATAGTGAAGGAGGTGTGCACTGTAGTGTCAATGAGAGCAGCTCAACTGTGTGCTGCCGGAATTGCCGCTGTTGTTGAGAAGATGAGAGAAAATCGGGGCCTTGATCATCTGAAAATCACTGTAGGTGTGGATGGAACGTTGTATAAGCTGCACCCCCAGTAAGTGAACTTCTATGATTTGTGAAATGTGATATTATTGCTTTTGATTCTATGCTGTGTTTGTGAGGAATGCATACAGGATAGGACAATGGGTGGTGGCAATATTTGAACGCTATGTATAGATTTGCTAGTAAAATTTTAAAATTTTTGCATCTTTTATATAACATAAATGGTATGTCCACGTTTAGCCTAGTTAAGGTAATCCACACAACCCTACATTTAAATTTGAGATGTGTGTTAGTGAGTAGGATAACTCATGAGTGTCCACTGTGGCTTGGAAACTGCAGTGGTGGTAAGAGATTACTCAAAGCTCCAGGGTGTTCAACTCGTACATCCCCCCCCCCAGCAACTATCATGAAACCAGACAAGGCAATCTCTGTACAGAGGCTGTATTCTAAGCACTGTACCAATGGATGGATAAAGATCCCATGCAATGGCTGTTCTAGGGTTGGGATCTAGGGTGCAGAAATGTCACCTCTGGTGACCCCAGTGATAAAATGAGTTTGGCATATTATTTCATTTTAGTATTGACATAACACTGAAATCTTAGTTGACTTGGTCTAAAATATCAAATTTTGTGAATTTCCTGATTCCTTGATTTTTTTTTATTTTTTTTTTCCTGCTTTGCACACTCCCCTCCAATATGGCTATGTTATGACAATACCTTTTTTGCAGCTTTGCTGGTGTTCTTCAGAAGACAGTGAAAATTTTGGCCCCTCAGTGTGATGTTTCTTTCCACCTATCTGAAGATGGTTCTGGTAAAGGGGCAGGCCTAATTACTGCTGTTGCCTGCCGTGTTGCTGATGCTGAGCCACGGGCAGCTTAAACAAAAAAGGAAAGTAACAAAAATAAGACCCTTTAGGAAAAGAGGAATGGGAGGCTCTCAGTAGTGTTGTTTTTCATCCTAGGTTACTAATGCAGAGCCACAGACTGTTTATTTTTTTTTTTTTAAAATTGCATTATATGAATATTTGTCTTGCAGAACTTTTTACTTCCAATGTTAAATAACTTTATAAATGTTCTATTTATATGGAATATTGTGTAAAAAAAATAAATATTTTTGAATAGAGCTGGTGTTTGTGGAATACATGCAAATGGTTATGTAGAGATGTGTCCGCTAAGCCCGGTCTTGTGTTTACTGCCTAGCAGGACCTCTTTCAAGATTCTGTGCTCAGGAGTTCTGTCTCACATTATATGTCAGACTGTTAACATACTGTTCTCTGAAGCTTACTTGAGTGTGATATAGAAAGCTTAGTCGGTTGATTAGCTGGCCGGCCAATATCTGAGTTTTTCATCAGGGGTTGAATTAAGCTTTAACAGAAGGGATGATCCCAGTTCTTCTGAAAAAGTTATTTGGCTAGAATATGTCTCTTGCTAGCAGGCAATGTTCACAGCCACTTGACTGGAACCCAGGCCTAGAAGTCTTGGCCCTCTGGCAGGCTGTGTGTGTGGAGTTGCAAGTGAATCTGAAGCCGCAGTCAGAAAACTGAAATGGAGTCTCACTCAAAGCTCGCACTTCACAAAGGAAGTTGTGTTCTCCTGCAGTTGAACCGCCACCCAAAGACTTTCAGCAAGAAAACCTGTACGAGCCTGCAATTTCGATATTCCACTTTTGAATTCTCAAAGTTGTGCAGTAAGGTATTTCAAAAGATACCCAAGGACTCAACCTGCAATAATGGAAACCTTGAAATGAGCTAAAAACACTGCGTTCCTGACTGTGTCTAGCTTTGTGTCTACTTTGAGTCACCAACCAAAAATAGATTTTGCAGCAATTGTTTGAAATTCCTTATCTCGGTCAAGGCTAATGACTTGGGAAGCTTTGAAGCAAAGGTATATACAACTAACTGGAGAAAATATAGATGTTTTTTATCCTATTTCACCTTTTTCTATCCTTTCTAAAGAAATTTTTAATGTAGGTCTGCTTTAGCTTAAAACAACTGTGACAAAACTGTTACAGCAATATGCAGGGTTTCATTGTAAATCATCACTTAAAGTGATTGTTCCCTGGCACCAATATTTTCTCAGTGAATTGTATGGCACGCACACATACACATCGGGAAAGACAAGGTGAAATTGACACTCCTGCTATGTGTACTAATTCCAAGGAAGTATTGGATTTTCAATTGCTGCATTGATTTTCAGCTCAATGACTAACGTTATTGACATAGAAATCTTAACATGTTTTAACCTGTTTACCTTTCAGTTTGGTAAATTAGAAGATTATTTTTCCATGTATAGGATGGCATCACCTGGGCTTACACATCACTGGATAAGTCATACAGTTAAGTAACGAGCAATTTCAGAGGGAGAACAGCAATGACAACCTGCATATTCCTTTCATCCCTTTGCTCAGTACAGATCCCCCAGTGATTGACAATCCACTGAAAATCTAGGGCTACATAGGCAATTTTTAATCTGAGATTTAAAAAATCTTAGTGTTGTAGTGTTACTACCTATTGAGCAACTTTTCAAATGTTAGTCTTGTGAGATTAAAATAGTATTCAGTTCAAAACAAATTTTTTTTTTTTTTTTTTTTTTTTTTTTTTTTTTTTTTTATTGGAGTTTGCCAATCCTTAAATGTGGTGTCTGAATAAGGTTCCCTATTAGGCATTTTTTTTCTTCCTGTATTTATACCTGGTGATTTGGTCAGTAACACTCTTTCGCTGGCCACTTGTTGAATTTCAATCCCTGTGTGGTCCTGTTCCAACCCCCAACAAACTAAAAATCCCAGCCCACTTGCCAGAATGCAATAAACTGAATTGACCCTAACCGTTCACATTAAAAACAAGGAGTTTAGTTTGCACACATTTGCAAATATATTCGCAAGCTGCAGCGGCCATGTCCATGGCACCACAGTGTACTGCAGTCCTAACTCTATCATTTTGAGAGTCTCCTGAGTTGGAGCACATACAGTATATAATAATGGATAAATTAAGGGCAGGTATGCCTGGAGAGAGCCCACCCCTCCTTAAAGGTATAGGAATGCATGGGACCCTCAGCAATAGCACAATGGCAGCGAAGGTATCCAGTGCATCCCCTCACCAATTCACCAACAGTACAAACGAATGGCAACCACCTCAACCTATAATTGGCCTTTGCAGCAAGGAGCACATGGAAGGGCAATGCATGTAAAAAAAAACAAACAACAAACAACTAAAATTCCCAGCTCACTTGCCAGCCAGCTTGTAATAAACAGAATTGAACATGTCTAACAGTTCACATTAATCGACGCTTTGCCAAATGGGATTTTTGGAAAAACTGTTTGAATAGCAGCTGCTATCAGAATGCAATGTCTCAAAGGGGAAAATACCTCCATCCTCATTTTTGGGCAGCATTCAGGAGTCTCTATTTTGGATGGAAGAGCCACGGAGACAACTTTTGGGTACCAGCATTGTCAATCTCGGGAGAGGGTAGTGTTCAACTAACAAACTTGGAGGGGCTTGACTAACAAATTGTAAAGCTAAACTCCAGCTAACACTTTATAAGCAGGTGCAGCGACCGTTTTTTTCCATTTGGAATAAAAGTTTTTTTTACATAAATTAATAAGAGCTGGCCATTGTAAGCACCCTTGTCAAATGCTTTGTCTCAACCATCTAAGTTCCACTTTTACTGAAGAGCTTGGTTAGTTAAAGGAAATTGAAAGTAACAAAAATACTTGTTAGATCACCAGGTGAAAAAAGAAGAGGCTAAAAAGAAAACTGATGCAGCCACGTCATCTAAGAATTGTTAGCTGTAATATGTTGCACGGTTTTGTTTTTTTGTTTTCTTTGGGGGGGGGGTACTATGTATTATGAGTATATTTGAATAGGATCTGTTGCTAAAGAATCTCCTAAGAGAGGCTGTTGAGCAAATATCATACTCTTTTCGACTGAAGTACTGTATTGAAGGAGATTTAAGTATATGTAGACTGGATCACTAAAACCTCATATATTTTAATATTTCCAAGATCTTTAACTGCTTTTATATGCAGTGGCCAGGTGAGACGAGCACCATTCTGAGTGTGGACGTACCCATATGTACCTCAGTATGTGGCCACACAGCGGTGTGCTCCCAGGGTGCTTGTGTCCCTTTTGACACAGTGCATCTCCGTTTGGCAGATGGGCTCTGTGATTGGCCCATCTGATCACATGATGGCTGTGTCCAATCACAGCCATCATGTAATGTAAACACAGATTGGTGTTTACTTGATTTGGCTCTGCTTCCCTTCACACAGCCAGTGTGAGGAGAAAAAGAGCCCATCTGTGCCTGCCATCTGGAGATTAGTGAGTTTCACAGCATTTATACAGCCTAAGAGGCTGTTTGCGCGAAATATTCTCATACTCCTTTTGACTGAAGTATTGAAGGAGATTTAGCCAAGATCTTTAACCCACTTTTATATGCAGTGGTGGGTGGGATAAGCGCCGTTCTGAGTGGACGTACTCTTATGTCCCTCAGAATGTAGATGTGTGCGCAGCCACGCGTTCTGGGGTTGCCCATGTCCCTTGGACACAGCACATCCCCAACTGGAAGAAGGGCTCTGTGATTGGCACATCTGATCACATGATGGCTGTGTCCAATCACAGCCATCATGTATTGTAAACACGGATCAATGTTTACTTGATCAGCTCTGCTTCCCCTTGCACAGAGCTAGTGAGAGGAGGAGAGTGAATCTGTGCCTGCCAGCTGGGTATCAGTGAGTTATACAGCATTTTTACTGCTTTTAACACACTGATCAGCCAGCCAACATCCCTAGTGTGCACCAACATCTGTCAGGGTGTCCCATCAACATCTGTAAGTGTGTACAAGTGTCCAATCAACATCTGTCCGTGTACCAGTGCACGACATATGTCCCATTTCAACATCTGTCAATGTCTAGTGGATCATCAACATCTGTCAGTGTCTGTAGTGGACTGTCAGTATTCTAGTGCATCAACATCTGCCATAGTGTCCCAGTGGATCATAAACATATTTTAGTGTCCTAGTGCAC